TTTTTTGGTTTTTTTTTTTTTTTACATTTGCTGATTGCTTGTATGTTCATCATCATCTTTTTTTTTTTTTTTAATTAGAGTTCATTTTCACAAACTAACCCTCTTGTTTTTGTTTGTTTGTTTTTTTCCCTTCTCTTTTCTTCTCCGGTTTCCCTTCTCGTTATGGTAGACTGATCCTTGGTTATCATTGCAGAACTATGGCAGCGGAATGAGACCTCCACCCAACTCTTTAGGCCCCGGCATGCCTGGAATTAACATGTAAGGCAAATCCGTGGTACTTTTCCCTGTTAATATTTGCCCGTGGCCTCTTGCTTTACGTGGCTTTGGGAACTGCCTTGCTGTTTGCTGTCTCTGCGTGCCAGGGAGGGGGGTGAATGGGTGTGAGGGATATAAGCAGAACATTTTTCTGTTTAATTATAACTCCAGGGGTCCAGGAGCTGGCAGACCATGGCCGAACCCCAGCAGTGCTAACTCAGTAAGTATCCGTCTGTCTTTGCGTTCGGGCAGGAGCAGGGCTGGTCAGCGACCGTCCCGGAGCGTTGGGCGGCCAGCGTGGGTCTCAGCGGACCTCTCTGCGGGCTGTCTCCAGGTGCTGCCTGGCAGCGCAGCCCCGGGACCAGGAGAGCAGGGTTGAAACGGGCTGGAGGGTGGACGCGTGCCAAAGGAAACGTGCACCGCCCTCTCTAACAGACAGAGCTTCCTTACCTGGGCGTGTCGTTAAATGAGTCCAGCTAACGAGAGGATTTTCATTTTCTTTCTCTTTTAATTTAGTCATTGCCTCTACATCTAAAACGTCAACGCCATATTCTGATCTGCTGCTCTGCTGCTCTCCCGGGTTTGGGATGCGGGGAGGGTTTGATGATTTGCAGTGCTTGGCCAAAAAGAGCAGCCTAGCTTTGGGGAAGGAAGGAGACAGCATCTTCCTGCAGCCACCTGCTCGTGGAGCGGCTGTAGACGTGTGATGGGCTCCAAAACACACGTGATCTTCCTCTGGTACTGTTCAGTTTTTCTGCTTTTGCATCCTCTTCCTAGCAGGAGCTTGGGGGAGCAGATGAAGCGGATCATCTCGGGCGTTTAGGAGGCCTCAGTTGGGCACGGTTGCCGTTCAGCCTAATTTGAGCCTTGGCTGGACCACATGGGCCACAGGCAGTGTTAGCTGCGTAGCTGGTCTTGCTTTTTGACTAAACCCGCCTGTCTCTTATCTGTGTCTAGATCCCATACTCTTCTTCATCGCCTGGTACATATGTGGTAAGTCCTTAAGCTTAAATTGGCTGTCTTGCAGTGAGGTTAAAGAGCGATGTTACGGCTCAGTGACTCTTCCCTTGTTCACACGTACGCGGGGGTGCGAAGCCGTGCCTCTGTCCTGGGGCCAGGGCGGGTTCGGGTGGCCTCAGGTCTAGCCTGGGGGGAAGAGGTGCGAAAACTGAAGAGATTCAAAAAATTCTCTGAAATGCCACGTGTGTACTCGGCATCCTCCCTTGCCAGTGTGGCAGCAAAACCAAAAGGCTTTACAGAAGCGCTGCCTGCAAATTATTTCCCTCCTGCACGCTCGCATCCCCCCAAACACCTCCTCGTTTAAAGAAAGGAGGGGGGGAAAAATCCTGGTTTGTCTCGAGGCTTAAACAAAGAATTGCACTCGGCTCTGCGAGTGCATCGGAGGCTTTAGCGGGAGATTAATGCTTGGCTGACTACCAAGGTGAGACATGGTTGCTGACAGCAGCAGGATCTCGCTGACCTACTGCGGCGCGCGGCACGGCAGCGGGGTGATGGGCGTTTCGTCTCTCCGCAGGGTCCCCCTGGCGGCGGCGGCCCCCCGGGAACACCCATCATGCCCAGTCCCGCAGGTACGACCCCCGAGGCGCCCGCGGGCAGCAGGAGGAGAGCCTCGCCGCCCCGCCAGCCCCCGCGCCGCCGGGCTGCACCGCGCTCGCCTATTGTTCGCCCCGGCCTTTGTGTTCCCCTCCCCTGGCGGAGTTCGGAGGAGGTGGAAAACGAAGCGCCGGGCTGGCGGAGGCGCTCGGGGAAGGGCTCGCGCTCCTGCCCCCGGCCC